ATTGAAAAACAGTGCGCCGTAGCATAGTGCAACGACTGCGTTTTTGGAATGTGGATGTCTGTCATAATTTTTGGGATCACGAATGTAGTTAAATAGCGCCGCGGCTGTAGAGGCTAAAAGGCCTGACTGAAGATCGTTACAGTTGTTAGCCCATCCAATAAAGACATGAAGGAAACTCACGACAACTGCACCCCCTTGGGAGGTTTGCTGCCATCCAGCTCTGATAGCTTCAACGGTGCGAGGAAGGCTCTCTATCAATAACACAAATTAGAACTTAAACCAAGCGCGTGCCAATGAAGTAGTTCTCTTGAATTAGTACATACCTTCCATACGAGCAGGGGGAGTGAGGCCCTTCATTGTAGCAGTGTACTGGAATTGATATGGTCGAAAGCAGGCGGATGCAATGGAATGTGGACGGAAATCTATGAGACAGCCGAATTGTTGGAGCGAACGAAAAATTGGCCAGTTTCAAATATCTAGCCCGCCCAACTCTGAATCAAGGCTGTTAACAGCACGCAAATGCCTTGCGACGTCTCTCCAATGAGGCTTCCTCATGGCGATAGACTGAAAATTTTAGGATATACGAATGGTCTACTGACCTGCAGAACCCAAGCTTGGAGCTAGTGGATATGTTCCATGAAATTTGCCGAAGTATTTGGCGATAGCTTCTACGGATCCCTGGGCGCTTAATTGATGGTGTCGATATTAATTAGCTCCGGTGACTGATTTTACTCGGAATAACCAATTAGATACTCAATGCGAGCTTTAGCTAATGCAGAGAATGAGATCTGAGAGTCGAATAGCGCCCTGGGAGCCCTAATAAGGGCTATGATCGAGTATCTGCAAAAAACGTTGACTTCGCATGCTAATATCAGAGCTCGCTTCCGCTGTCAAATTCAGAGCAGACGTAAATTCTGTACAAATGGGTATACAACGGTACTGATCTGTTCATTTCTATCAAGCGCTTTACAAGAGAGAAGAGCGATCGATAACATGACGCAGGTACCACTCTGAATCGTATGGTAAACGGTTCGCAAACACATGGATATTCCTCCACTGGCTTTCAAGTCAGCACGCGCCTATGATGAATGTGATCCGGAAGACTGGAGCTGTCGATGGTCGGAGCCCTCATGGTGGTCAAGTCAAACTGTTCAACTGGATCGTGTCCTGATCGTGTCAACGGAATGATACTTTGACCGTCCTCCGCTGTACATGTTGCTCTAAATCGGGATGGTCACCGGTATTACTATGTCAGTCAATCCTGTAGACCTGCGGACCTCCCCAGATCCCGACATCATACAATCAACATGCAGCAGCCTGATGCAAGCAGAGACCGTCCATCACTAGACACTCATGTTGAACAAAAAACAGAAAGACGCAGATCGATAAGGTATGTGCAAATGGTACATAGGGATGTGCATTACAGTAATACCGGATACATAGGGTATACGTATCATATCGTACACACAGTGAGTGATGTGGGCGAGAAATGTGCGTGCGGGGAAGTGGTACATGTATGTTGTCTGGGGTATGTGTATGCAAATGGGGGGAATAGGGGGATGGAGATAGAGCAAAGCATAGGAATAGATCAAAAAGGAATAACAATTGAAAAAGGGAGGAAAAGAATAAGATGCCGACGGTGAAGCAAAGGAGCAAGATCCAAGAAAAATACACCACGAACACGAAATAATAAAGATGGATCGGTACATAATGTATAACAAAAGACCCACGCCTCAAAACTCTAATCTAGGATCTCTCATTAAGATGTTGCCAAGTGCAGAAGCACGCACAGATTTTGATTGGGCGGCCATCGATCCCGGTTCTCGACTCTCGATAGAAGCTGCCAACGAGCCTACATCACCGTATTCGGAATGCGCACCCTAGTCGGCCCAGCGTCGATGCGCACAAACGACATCCGCGCCAGCGGATTCGGCAGCGGGCCCTCCCGTTCCCGCTCCCTCGTCGCCGTCGGGCTCGGGGGCACCACAGGGATCCTGTGGTGCTGCCACGAGTAGACCCGCGGCGTCACGCTCGGCGGCGGGGACGGTGTGGCTAGCACCATGGGCCGCACAGCCCGCGCGGGATGTAAACGAAACGGCATCGGTGGCGGCGTCGCGGGCGCACGCGGAGACACCGGAGAAGGCGCGCGCTCTGGCATACCGTCCGCGTCTGTGTCTCGGTGCTCCACCCGCGTGCGTGTAACAGTAATTGGCGAGATGGGCATCGTGCGGCGGAGCGCGGGGGAGCGCGTGCTTTGGGAGGGGACGAACGCTGGCGGCGTTGGTAAGGGTGATGCGCTGTTATTGTAGGTGCTCCTTGCCAGCAAACCCTGTATCTCGGTCGGGGGCTGCCACTCAGTCGGACTGGAGATCATGGTATCTTCGTCGTCCTCGGCGTCAGCATCGGCGGTGTTGTTTGCCCATCGCGCGGTGCGATTCGTGTACACGCCGGCGATGAGCATCGCGGGATCGTCGGCGCCAACCGCCATTGGGCTATTGTTCGTGCCGGCACCGCCTTGGCGCTGCTGCTGCTGTTCCCCCTCGCCCATGCTGTCCACGCTCGAAATTGAATCGGAGAGGTCGGACATGCCGGTCGCGGTGGAAGCATGGGCGGCCGCCGTGATTGCTGCAGCCTGTTCGCGGGCGCGCTGGGCAGGGTCGATGAACGCCTCGTACTCAGCGTCCTGGAAAAACTCTTCTGAATCCGGGTCGAAATGGTTCCAGGAGGTCCAGCGCTCGCACGTGGGGGTGGGCTCAGGCTCAGTGTGGATAACGGGGGCCGAAGCGTATGTTTGAGAGTAGAATGCGCGGCCCATGGTGGTGATGGGTGGTGGGGCGTCTGAAGGAGACTAGAAAAGTGGCAAAACGATTAAGTATTGCGGAGAGTGGGTGCAGTCGAGCGTAAGAAGGGCGTCGACGCTTTTGAGAGGGGTATCGTAGAAAGGGGTATGGGGATGATGGTGGTGGGAAGCAAGACGCGTCGCGATGATGAAAACTTAAACTCAGGGCGGCGTTAAAGCAACTTCCCATTTTGGCCGCCTCGGCTGATTCAGCCTCCGGCCCACACTGCCACACCAAATCTCCGTCTTACTTTCCAGTCCACCCAATACCCAACTACGACTGCTGTGCTACCAGCTGGCAGCCACGTCTCCTCTCATTGCCAAGAGATTTTTGTCTTCTCGAGTTTTTTTCATCTGTGTGCACCGAAATGTTTGCCCGACGTTCTCGTTGCATGAAGCCCAACAACTGCTACATATCTAAGTTTGTCGCTCACATACGTATACCTATACTGCGGTCCTGCCTGCGGCTTTCCCTCTTGTCTAGCTTACGCGAAGTGTCAATCCCTCACAAAGGCCCGAGGGCCGACACCCTCGGCCTGCACGACTAAGAAATCAAGCACATGGCCCTCAGCGTCAAACAACGTTACTGGCAGGTAATTTCGGGGTAATACACAACTATTACCACGCACAGCAGCGCACAGCCAATGCTCAATTATTCCCCATCCAGCGGACACAGGACGGCGATAGAAGTCTCCGCCTTTGCACATTTCCATACAGAGAACATTGTCATACATGAGTGGCACGTCTATTTTTATATCAATCACAGTGGACACACATCGCACATAAATGAAGCCGCGACGTCGTTGGCTTGGTCCGTTTATCCTCGTCATACATATCGTACTTGGATGCCCTGCACTGGGCCATCGGGCCCGCTGTAAGTATTTTTGGCGCTCGAAATTTTGGCCGAGCTGGAAATAGCGCCCGGAGGTCCAACACTCGAATCCGTGGCTCAGAGTTTGAGTCATGCCCGGACACGGAACGCCGCTGGGTGTGTATTTTTCAATTTCAGTGCTAGAAATGTGAACTGATGTCGCGTCGCATACATAGCGTCGCATGCACACGGATGTATGACTCCATGTATTTCTTTGGCATATAAATCGACATTGAATTCAAAGCTTCCTTTTTGATAGATCATGGCGATGACATGATGGTGATCATGAATAGTGAGAAAAATCTATTTAAACCCTCTTCTGTCAATGCATCATGCTTAACCAGACTGTGGCATTCTATCACGAGATGGACAACACAATCAGCTTGCAGTACACCATTTGTTTTATACATAGGTCGAGCTTCTACAGGCCTCTGTGATATTTTGGAGCTGGCTCTGTGCCACCGCGTGCAGTACCATATCCGCTATGTGCGTATGCAATTGGAATGGCAAAAGTGATAAATAAATCTCAATAACAAGGCTCCTCACAGGTAAAGCGATTTACTTGCTCGTGCAACAAGCCCATCACCACTAGGTTATCATATTTGCTCCTACGCCGCCAGTCTGCCCCTTCCTGCCTTCATATCACATACTGTGAAAAATAGTTAGTTGCAGAACTGCGTATAATTGATATAGTGCGTCAACTTGGCCAAACTTTAATGTCTCGCCATAGGTTTTGTGAAAGTTGCATTCGGAGAGCTTTTTCATCGAAGAAGTCTGACAGAGATCTACCACACTTGCCTGCGTCATTTTTTACTCTGAATCGGGCTTACAATTGGTTGAGCAGCTATTCTCCACCGAACCGTATACTCTGAGCTCTTTTACCAGACCAAAAATTAAAATAGCTTCTGTGCACAGAGGTGGTAAGAATGCCGAATGTCAAGCTTTGTCAAATTAATTGAGATGTCAGAAATCAGAAAGTAGGGATCTTCTCGAACCGTATTGGGCAGCGCTGCCTTCTAACCTTCCTTTACTCTTCAGAAAAACCTCCTTCTTCGATATTCAGGTTTTATACTCAACTACATAACCCAAGATAGTTTGTGGTGGGTCTTTACACTGCGACAGAATTTTACAAGTCACTCGTTGATTCAATGGTTGTTCCACCTTCAGCGCAAAAAAAAAAAATACATGCAAACATACGTCCACACTTGCCAAAAATTCTCCTCGGCCGCTGGCTGGGTATCTTTGGGGTATCTTTCACTTAAACGTCGGTGGATAAAAATTAAAAAGGAACTGCCCCAGAGAGGCTCGAACTCTCGACCTTCCGATTGCAGCTAGCAGGCAGCTAGTATCAGTGTATAACAGTCGGACGCTGTAACCAACTCAGCCATGGGGCACGTTGTTTTGACTTCACATTACTCGTTCAACACCAGTAGAAACGCCAGAGCCTATTGAAAATTTGAGTAGTACGCGAACGTTAACAGCCAAAACATTCATACGGTACACATAGTTCCCTCGTCCTGATCTTGCAATTTAAGGACGTGGCACATCCAGATCATGATGATTGAACAGCATGCGTTTGACTCTAGTCTCTGACCACCGAGACGAAAAGTTGAGACACAAGGTCTGTTGATCCTTTTTTCTCAACCGTCATCCTCTGTCCTAGTTGCAGAGGCTCATTTCTCGCTGCCTTCCCTCCTTCACCCTCAACTCCCGCTTGCCGCTTTTACGTTGCTTAATGTTACGGTGTCTGTACAGATCAGTCACGCCACATGCCATCAAGCGACTGGAGGCCAATGTCACAACTCTTCATCTTGGGTTTCACCTTCGATTTCGACCCTTGGGCGCTCAAGACACTCGACTACTTGGTATGGACGCGCATGTAAGCGAAGAAAAAGGGACGTCCGAAAAGCAAACGACAGCCAAGGTGGTCCAGGAGCAGCCGTTCTATGAATTTAACCAAGATGCTGGCAAATGGGAGTCCAAAAAACCGCAAGCGCTTAACCAGACATCCACTATCAGTGGCGCGGCGAGTTTCACGGTGGTGACATGGAACGTGGATTTCATGAAGCCTTATCAAGCTCAACGGCTTACCGCCATCTTGTCCCACCTCCAACACACCGTCGTCGATCCGTTATCTTCCTCCCCTGAACGACACTCGCCCGCGCACGTAATCATTCTCCTCCAAGAATTCCACCACAATTGCTTCCCCGCCCTTCTCGAGCATCCCATGGTCCGCGCGTCCTTCGCCCTCACCTCCGTCTCTACTGCCACCTGGGCACATCGGGACGCGCGCTACGGCGTCGTCACTCTCATCTCGCGAGCGCTCACGCCAATGGTAGCCAAAGTCTTCCGCAGCCCCTTCGTAAACACGACGATGGCGCGCGAGGCGCTGTACGTGGACCTCCGCGCCCACCCGGAAAAGGTCGTCCGCATTGCGAATACGCATCTCGAGTCGTTGAGCGGACCGAGCGAGCAGATGCGTCAAAAACAGCTTGCATCGGTCGCAGAGTTCCTCCACGCACCAGAAGTGCACGGTGGATTGGTAGGAGGCGACATGAACCCTATCGGGCCTCTAGACGGAGGTCTGCCAGAGCGCTTGGGTCTTGTAGATGCATGGACTGCAACACGAGAGAGCCCCGTGCCAGGGACCGAGGGCCAGCAAAGAAGAGATCAGGAAGAGGATCATACATGGGGTTACCAGCCGCCGAGCAGGTATCCGCGACGGCGGATGGATAAGGTACTCCTTGCAGGGAATTTGGAGGCCAAGGGTATGGAAAGGGTCGGGGTGGGACTAAAAGTATCAATTCCCTCCAGTAAGAACAAGACCGAAAGCGTATGGGCAAGTGACCATTACGGCCTGGTTGCAAAAATCCATGTCGCATGATCAGGGCTCGGGTTTTTGGAAAAGATACTCGATGAGCATCTGCACTACGTGCACATTGACGCTGTTCCCGATGAGCTTGTATTTTGATTTGGTGGAAACCGTTTCTGGCCAGATGAACTCTGTTTTCTTCTGTTCCTCTGGATTTTTTATTGTATCCTCGAATGTGTGACGCGATGGAAACGGAGGCTCGAACGCGAAGATGCGTAGTAGCTCTGACGGTGCAAAATAGCGGAGTTTGAGAGGATGTAGGAGACGAACGGCGTCCCGAGCTCCGAGAGATTGGGCGTGGAGGAATGCATCGAAGGTCATTGTCGTCTGTGGGGTCATAGAAGTTAGTCATTATGGAGGAAGGGAAGTTTTGAGAATTGGTAACATACATCTAGGTCTTCGTTTTCTTGTAGGATCGAGCCTGCACGTTCGACGAGTTGTGTATAGCCTGATATCATGAGAGAGCAATTTTTGGATATAAACTCGTATAAAATTGCGCACCTCGCGTAAAACAGCACGTCCGCCTGGCTGACGGCTGGACGATGTCAAATAGTCTTCCCCACTTTTCCAGAACTTTATCGGAGATCTTATATCGTTGGTAGTGCTTCCCATCTCTCTCCTCATCCAGATATATGCTAATCTTTCCCACTATCGAGTTTAGAGTATCTTCATCAGTCTTGGACTTTCCATCCAACCGCGGATCGGACCAGGAGATACCCTGCCCAGGTATTTGTCGCCATACTACGTTGGCGGTATCTGGGGAGATGTCAGAAAAAATATATGGACGCTTTTTGGCAAGGAGGTAGTAGCGCAGTCGGGAGTTTGGGATGCCAAATTGGAGTGGTGTGAGCAGGAGCTCCAGAGTAGTGTAGCCGATTGAACGCAGGGTTTCAACTAGAATTTGGCGCGTACTTGAGTCCTGAAGCACTTTTTCAGTTGGAAGAATAATGTCTTTCCTGAAAGATGCTTACCTCAAACCCAGCGACATTTTCGACGAGCAACCGGTCTGGATGTTGCTTCGAGATCGCCAGTTCCGGAAGAACGTTCTGGACGAGATGCAAGAATGAGTGTGCTCGCGGATCCTGCGCGCCTTTTGCATTGGGATTTAACACAGTATACGGTTGACAGGCTGGTGAGAGAAGCCAAAGATTCGCATTATATGGCGAGAGCGTGGACGCAGTCAGAGTGGAAATGTCTACCTGTCGCAGAATTATGAGCAAGCGAACATATTGACGTGTTCGATGCCATGATTTAGAGGTGAGACAAACTTTTCTGACAATATCTTTTCCGCAGTTGGCGCTGTAGACTAGACAGGCAGTCTGATCCCAGTCGAAAGCTTGGACAACGTCGGCGTCAACATTACTTCGAGTCAATGCTAAGTGCAAACCGCCTAATATGAATCCGATCAGTTAGATTGATGCAATGTCAGAGAAGATAGTGTGCACCTATGCCACTGTAGAACTCTAGGGCTCTGATTGACATACAAAACCAAGACGACTCTTCACTTTGAAGAAGGACACTGAGGACGAAAAGTTGAGGACAAACTTCGGCAACTCAAAAAATAAGCGGCTAATCGTCGCGTCTTCCACGTGCTTTCCAATAATGCCAAGCGTTCAGAATCAATGACTTGATACGACAACTCAAATAATTACAAGGCTCCTTCTTTTGACTTGTTCATTTTTCTTCTCTAGCCACATCGGGTCGAATTTCTAGGCTATGAAGGCAGATCTCTCAATATCGACAAAGGATGAACCCGATTCCACTTCCACCATCGCAGCCCCAGCCGTCGTTGCATCGTTGAACACCCCAGATGTCCTTGTATCTCCCAATCCATGGCAAGATGAAAACCCATCTGAAGCCGACGAAGTCGTCCCAGAAACAAAGCCGCCTAAGCCTCTACCAGTCCTTGATCCATCAATATTCGACCAGCCGATATTCACCGCGAAGGACACCCCACCCTCAGAACCCGGAAGCGCAGCAGTGACAAAGGAGGTGCTCAGCGAATTCGATCCTTTGGTGAGCGAGGAGGAACGCGCAGCGCGCGATGCTTGGGAGGCCTCGGAAGGCCACCCGCCACCCCCGCGGACACCATCGCCGCCCCAGCCTCCAGTGAAGGACATATATGTCTCATCGCCCACAAGTCCTGGCCCAAACCCTATAGATTCTGTCCCCACCACTCCTGCGCCTGTTCTTATCACCTCACCATCATCGGCCTTTCCCTCCTTTGCTTCGTTGGCCAGGAGCTTCGCCCTACCACTGACGCGTTCGCGGCCGCAGTCAATTGATGCATCGGCGAGGGCTGTACCGTCTCCGGCAACCCTATCATCATTTGCAGCGCAGCAGGATGGGTCAGATGGCGGAAGGAGAGTAGATACTGGAAAGGCTGTCGACTCAGGACCTCCTACTCCTAATCAGCCACGCAGTGCCACTGGTTCGCCAGCACCCAAGGCTAACGATGGAGGATTTGACTTCCAAAAGTTTCTTGATCAAATGAAGTCGAAGAGTGCGGAACCTGTATCTAAATACTTGCGATCGTATGTTTTCTTGTATTCGCCCAAACACCTTATCCATTCTTTATTCTTAGGTTCTTGAGCAATTTTGCAAAACGGACATTCACAGTAAATGATCAAGTGAAGATAATCAATGACTTCCTCTCAGTATGTCTTCTTTAATTGCTCTATAAGATCCTTTCTGACTGAATGACTGTCAATATCCCACTCGACCATCTAGTTTATTTCCACACAAATGCGAGAATGCGACGTATGGAAGAACACCTCTGACGCCGATTTTGAAAATGCCATGGAAGGCATGGAAAAGCTCGTCATGAACCGGTTATATGATTTGTCAGTTGACGTAAACTATGTGTGGCTGAGCAATGACCTTACCACCCTCTTCAAGCACATTCACTCCACAATTACCTCTCGCTAACCCCCCTCGACCGATAACGACGGATGACCTTGAAAGGGATCGAGTGCTATCACAACGAATCGCGCTGTTTGGATGGTTGGAGGAGAAGCATCTTGATATCCCCGAGGGCGAAGGGAGCAAAGGGTTCTTGATGTTTGCGGAACAAGGTACAGAAACTCATCTATTCATGGATCTTGAATTAACAGTTTTATGCAGAATTATTAAAGATCAACCATTACAAGGCTCCTCGCGATAAATTGATCTGTATTCTGAATTGTTGCAAGGTCATCTTCGGTCCGCCATATTCGCAAACTGGTATTGAAGCATTGCTGACGTATTTCTGCTCTCAACTCAGGCCTGATTCGACATTTACACAAAGAAGAGGGCGCAGATTCGTTTGTTCCAATTCTGATATTCGTTGTGCTCAAGGCGAATCCTGAACATCTACTGTCAAATATGGAGTACGTAACTATATCGCGCATCTGCAGTTAACTTTACGATTGACCTCCTCAGGTTTATCAATCGATTCCGCAATCCAGAGAAGCTACAAAGTGAAGCTGGATACTACCTTTCGAGTCTGGTATATTGTTTTATAACTTATTCACATTGCATCAC